GTGCCGTATGAGGTGAAGGTGCCCATTGAGAAGCACATTCCCGTCTACTCGGAGGTGAAGGTGCCCATTCACAAGGAAATTCCCGTACCAGAGAAGTACCACGTCGAGGTGCCGATCTTCAAGCACCACGAGGATCATCATAGCCACCATGGTCATCATGGTCACTATTAAACATGGAAAGCAACAAGAGAGCGTGGCATTGCGGCCACCACAGAACGCGAGCACAAGGAGTATACGAACAAGAACAACAACAGAAGAACAACAAGAAGAAGAACGACGAAAAAATGGAATATGTGAGAGAAGACACAAGGACATTGGCAGAGGGTCTTTGTCGCAACGTTGAGCTGGACGTTGAACGGGTGATAAACACAAGGAGGAGTGGAAACAGAGCAGAAGGAGGAGTAGTACAAGTAACAGCACAGAGGACAAAACTGATTAGCTGGCTACTTGGCAAAAACAACAACAACAACATGAGATCTGGCGAATTTCGTTTTGCGAAATTCGCATATGTTTTTAAGCCAAATGTGTTATACTTTTATTTGTATCATTGTTTTAGTTTTTTATTTAAATTATAAGCAAAAGAAACACTGAAAAAAGAAAGAAAAAAAAAACAACAAAATCAAAAGCCAAATGCATTAATTGGGCGGAACGAAGTGGGAAATGGGCCGCTTGCCATTTAAGTGAAAGTGAAAAGCAAAAAGTCGGCGACCCACAAAGCGCGCACCGTTACACAAATGAAGACGGAAAACGGAAAATTGAAAGAAAAACCAGTTAGCAGTTAGTCAGCATTGTTGCTGTTGTTGCTGCTGCTGCTGTTGTTGTTGTTGGTATTGTAGTTGTTTCTGCAATTTCATTGTGTATTCTTGGCCAGTTGGTTATGCAAGYGATTGCATCACTGAAATTAATTACAGGAAGTGTAGCTTCATACACTCGAATTAACAAAATCTGTCTGGCCAATCACTTGGCAATTGTAAATTTTCGCAATTTTGTTGCTGTTGCTGTAGCTGTTGTTGCTGTTGTTGTTTTACTTTGTTTTCTTTAACTGCCTTGTCATAAGACGTTCGAAAATTTTTGACTACTGCATTAACATAGATACACACTTACACACACATACACATACCCACATGCATACATATCGCATTTGCTTGTAAGGTAAGACCTGTCTTTACTTTGTTTAAGCTTGCCGYAYTTTATTTTTATTGGTAATTGAAGCTGCGCCACCTGCTGAAACCCAACAAAATCAAAGTTTTTGGCCTCGTTTTTGGTAACGGTATCGTGATATATCATGTGGCTAAATTGCTACATTACCATTGTCTTGCGAAATGTTAAAGCACTCGAAATTGCAATTAAAATACAAAATCTTGCGCAACTCTGCAATTGCTCAACAATTTGAATTGTGCGCCTTAACGGTGAGCACCCTGTGCAAACACAGCTGTTTCCCATGAAAACACAGGGTGTACGCCTTGTGGATGTTGTGGAACGTACGTTGTCGTTTACACTCGCCAATCAGCTGTTAAATTCATTGTAGCTGTAGAAGAAGAAGAGCAGCATTCACATTTCGTATTGAA